CGCCTCATGATTCAGTTGGCACGATATTCGAGATATCGCAGTACATTTTCATAAAGGAAACTGCTCACAGGGTTGCTGAAAACTCTTCGACAGCCCAAGACTTAGCTATCAGAAACCGAAAAACGAACTGGAGGATTCCGGGCAACCGACTGTACACCGTGGAAGACCAAATGGGTATCTTTAACCCAGCAAAGCACACTCATTTGCATACCAATACGACTTTAATGGCAGACTCACCTGGAACCCAGGTGAATCTCTCGTTGGCGGAAACTCGGAGACTGCACCTACCTGATGAACCTGAAAATGTCGGATGCGAATAGTTTCGCACGTTTCAGAAGAGCTTGCTGAATAATCGGTAGTTTTTAATTGGGCAACGTTTCACTTTTGACACAAAAGCTTCATCAGGCCAAGTGAACAGGTCACCAAATTGGCCAGGTTATAAGACAGACGGGGAACCACTCAGTAAGTCCTCTTCACACTAGATCAGTGTTCAGTGTCAATTAACGGCTCGCGCCGGCTAGTGTGGTTACCAAAATTTTGAATTGATGGGTTGGAGGAGTTTCAAATTAGTTTAGTTAGCTAAAACCATTTTGAGATCAACATCCGAATGGTTAGAGTCTGGACTTTGAACCGGATGGCGGTCTTAACGATGCCATCGTCGAAAGACTTTCAACTTCATTCTTTGTGTTCGTTACTATTACACTCAGTGAACAAATCCTGAGGAAATCACGTGATAGTTCACGTGAACGCGCAACCAAAGACGCCTCACCTCGTGCTGATATCACCAAATAAAATGGCTAGACTGCGGAAGAAAGTACACACTGCTTCAATGGTCTCAGCCAAAGAAGAATGGCGTTTCAGTTCACTCACTTTTATCAAAGCCAAGCTGGATCCCCAAATTAGGAGAGTTCGGATCAACTTGCAATACGGTTTCGTGGAATAGCTGTGGTCCTTCATTTGACTGCTGAATAGCATCGAAATGAAAACAAAGATACACAAAGGATGAACTTGGAGCAATCAGTTGGGTTTTACGGAAGAATAGTAGACACGTCCTCGAAACTTACAACCGAAGTGTGACGTTTAGGTTAGTTGATCTGTTGAATACGGATTATATATCAAAACACGCGTTCATTGAGTGACAACAAGTGGTCAGAAAATACGGAATAATCTGCGTTCTGTAGTTGTCAGCAAGATGTTGTCAGCTAGATGTTACCCATCGATTTCATCAGCCAAGACCTTTTCCGCTGCAAAGTACAAGTCAGTCCTGAAAGAGGTGTGCTATCTGCTTTGATTTACACAGGTTTTAAACAGACTATTCGTTTCATCTACAAGTTGTAAATTCCTAGGTCTCCTCACGCTCCCAACAGCTTGTGAGCATCTCAGATGGAAGTCGACCTTCCTGCTGAGAAGTCGTCACTCGAGAAGCCAGTCAACACGTGACCACGTGATGTGGGTCACATGATTGCATTAGGATTGGCGGTATACCATAACTAAGTGCTAATTAGTCACGGTGCTGTTCAGCCATTTGTGGCCAAACGATTAGATGTTCAACTAATGACCACAAGGTCGCGGTTCAAAACTCTGAGTTTCGTGAAAGGAGGAGGAAAGAGGAAAAGTAGTTTAACAGGGTGTGTGGAAGAAGTGGTTGCTCTGGGAGTCAGTCGATATGTATGATCACGTGATGTTGTTTCCTAAGTGCGAGTTAATTACAGTATTGATTAGCTACTCTTGACCGAACGGTTAAGTGTTCAACTACTGATAAATAAATAAAAAATCGTGTCTAGCTGCCATGCCACCCGAAGGAAGCACGAGGGTTAGGATACTGTCAAGTTGCCCAAACCTAGTCAGAGGAAGTCGAGAGGCAGAGGTCGGGTTCGAACCACGGACCTTCCGGTCAGTAAATTCGCGCTCTAACCACTTGGACCATCTCACCCCATCCAAGACCCTAAATCTCTCTTTTCAAATTCCTAGGAGAGTCAACTTATTCACACTCCAAGACTTGTTTGGATTCAGATAAGAACGGCAGTGCTGGTTGGTGGGATGTGTGCCACTGTTCAAGAATGCGACAAAATGTGAAGAAACCGTTAATCTCTGTCCTACCTGGTAGACTGTTTGAGGTACTCGGGCTTGCGTCATCGTACCGTTGAGGGAACCAGCATCCATCTGGCTCGAACAAGGCAGAAGAGCAGACGTATACCATCAGATGTGAAACAACTGATCGGTTATTACCAGAGAGTCATTGTCAATTCAAGCGTCGACTTTTCTATGACACTCACATCCAGTACTTTACTAGGATCTGGACGGATGATGACTTTCTGTTTGTCTTGATACATGGACATACCGACGGCAGCCTCCTTCATTTCAGCACACCGACAACATGCATTTCAAGTGGTTATTTTCCATACAGGTGTAATCGGAAGATGGAATATCTGATTTTCTTACCAAATAGCTTGTGCTTAAAACAGGCCGAGGGAAAAACCGGTTGGAAAAACTGGGTTTTGTGGAGTCCTGTGAGGGGTGGCCGTGCCACATCATTGTGCGTTTTGAGAAAAATACACATTATCCCTCTCAATAAGCCTATCCCCCTCGTTCGGACACGATCACAGAAGAGTTGCCACTGAAAAGATGGCCTCTGTATAAGACCGAACTTTACTAGTCTTTGATCAGCTATAATACCTTGCCACATCATTGTGCGTTTTGAGAAAAATGCACATTATTCCTCTCAATAAGCCTACTACCCCCCATCGTTCGGACACGGTCACAGAAGAGTTGACATTGAAAAGCTGGCTTCTGTATAAGACCGCACTTTACTGGTCCTTGATCAGCTGTAATACCCTTTCAGTGTTATAGCGCCCAAGGGAGACTTGAGGGCCTAGATATCGTCAGTTCGTCCAAGCCGCCAAGTCCAAAACCTTGACCATAGAAAATCGACATACAGAAACACACCAAAGAAACGAAACCGATAAAAGTCCCTCTTACCTTGCGTTTGATATCTTCCGCTTGGCTCTCTCTCTGTTTCGCCAATCGTGGATTGCGTGCCACTATCAGACTAGGTGCCTTTATCTGCTCACTGCTCACACTGCCGTTGTTACGGACGCTTCTCCGATACGGTTCATCGAGCAAATGTTCCGCCAGTTCAAACAAATTGGCGTTTGATTTGAGCGTCTGCACCTCCGGCGAGGTGAGTAGACCGTAACGGAGTTGAGTCAATGTTCGCCAGTCAAGAGGAAATCCGACGATAGCCAGAAGCTGATCGCCGCATTTAATGTTGTATGCTCTGTGTTGAAATGGAGGTAGAGGTCTTGAGAGTACCAGCCAAGCAGGCACTAATAATTTGAAGTGAACGCTATTCAACGAATACACAATGAAGGGGATGATAGACCATTTTCGATCTAATGAGCCACGAACAACGAAAAGTAGTCTGGAACGTCGACGTATTCGCAGAAGCTAACAAGATAACTCCGACAGGGAAGTTAGCGTAGGACAAATGTTTCACAAGTTTGGAGTTGCTCACTTGCTGAACAGGACGGAGTGAATATAATCGTGGGTGTGGAACTGGCGAGAGTGTGGAGAGTGGTGTTAGATAAACCGAGTTGACACGTGACTGTGTGGTTGTCAATCCACGTAGAATCATTAGCAAAAACCGGGGTGGGGGTGGAAATTCCAACCCGACCAAAAGTACAACACAACTATCTTAGCAGTAGCTCATCCACACAGACGGACAGAAGGTTCAAACGACGTTCAAGAGGGACCATCAAATGAACCCAACCAGAAACACTAGACCCTAGACTGGACCCAAACACACGTAGGTTTCCCCATCGGCCCAACACTTGTTCACCCGCCCAAACTCACAAAAATCCCTCGACCGACACCCAACAGAGATTTTGCTTGAAGCAGCTGATTAGTTTTTAATAAAGGAAACTACTCATAAGGTTGCTGAAAACTCCTCGACAGCCCACGACTGGTTTCGCCCTTCTTGGGGCTCATCAGGTTTCCGTCAACCTTATGTTCTACTTGATTGGTTCTCCTTCCGCCTTAAATCTCGACCAACGTCGTAACCCAGTCAAGTGGCCTGACGAAGCTTTTGTGTCAAAAACGAAACGTTGTCCGGCAAAAGATCTACCGATTGTTACCAAAATTTCCCAAAAACGAGAACCAAGCACTGATTTTAGAGACAGCGGCGTGTATGAGCCTGGGTGAAAGCAAATGGAAAGAGGCCATCTTATCCGATTAACAGACCAGGAAACAAGTGACCGGATAGGAGTCTGACAGTGTGTATGTTAGCAGAAAGGTTGTATAGACCAATAACAAGGAGCTCGCATTGTTCACCTGTTTGAAAGTTGAGTGGAATCAGACAAGAAAGGTGGGTAAAGTGTGGAGAGTGGCAAATCAATCGGGATAAACGGCAGATGGGCTCTGTGAAACCGTATTGATGTATTCACATCCGGTATGGTTGCTCGTTACCGGAAGATGGTGGATAGCCCAATTGGTCATGGAGATAGAGGATACACTGTCCAACAGGTGGTTCCGCACTCCAAGCTTCTGGCATAAATTTACGGTTTCCAGTCTCTTTGGAATTCATTCGCTGATTCTAAAGTGTTCTCACGCGTTTCCCGAGAAGCAGAGACAGCACAGTGGCACAGAGCTCATTGTAATACTCGATGACATCTGGCCACTATATATGCACAATTTTTCGGGACTTCACAGAAGAATGTGGTGAAATTTCAATCGATGTTGGATTCCAAAACTATTTTTTAAACGCAACAGGTGTATGGGATTGTGAGATTCATCAGAGTTGTCCAAGACATCGTTGAAACCGTGGTACGGGTGTTGTCTATCTCAGAGGCAGCAGAGTGCTTCCAGGATGAATTTGCAGGATTGATAACTGGGCCGCACTGCGTTATCTTCTCTCAGACTGGCTCTCATCCACCAAAGTAGCAAGTATTCGAGAACCTTCGAAGGGACTCAAGTACATGCAGTGGAAAGATATTTCACGCAAATGTTACGCCACCAGATCTCCAACCGTCACAGAGGAATCCAGTCACGGGTAGCAGGACCACCAGTGGAGAGTGCGAGCAATTGAAAACATGTTACGTCACAGGAACGAATGCCTGACATTTCAGTGTTCAAACTACGGTAATCCCAGTACACATACACACAAACGGTTTCCGAGAGCGGACTGCTTGAATGAATAGCAACCGACACAGATACGTTCAAACTATACGCAGTTTTACTAAAGTTGCATGAGGAAAGCGGATGAGCCAAGTCTTAGCAATGGATTTATTGACCGTATCCGGGTATTAGCCAACGAAAGATCGACTTCAATTTGAGCACAAGGTTGACGGAAACTCGGGGACTACGCCTACCTGAGGAGCCCCGAGAAGACCAAAACCGTTCGTGGGCTGTCAAAGAGTTTTCGGCAACCTGGCCAAGGAGACACGCTTTTTTGTTCACATGAAAGAGTCGGAACTTTTAGACAGCTTTAGAGGTCATGGCACTTGGAAGACTTCCCTGAGTTTGTCTCTACCGAAGGCCAGCGGAGAGGAAACGGGGAAAGTTAGGATGAGTCGATTATGATAGATGAAAGAACAAATACCTCGCTGATAAAAGCATTTTGATCCGCCAACAGACTGTGCCTGCAAGTAGACCATAAGGTTGACGGAAACTCGGGGACTGCGCCTACCTGATGAGCCCCAAGAAGGACAAAACTGTCAAAGAGTTTTCAGCAACCTTGTGAGTAATTTCCTTTACGAAAAGACTATGTCTGTGAGTTGAAGACCCATCAACTTTCTAACCTCTTCGGATAAATCATTTCTTTCAAAGTCATTCGATTTTCACCGATCCCTTTCCGAAAAACCCGTCTAATCGTCTCGTTGAGGGCTGTTTTCATGTCGCGCGAACCGAGCATCAAATATTCTAGTAGCCTACCCTTTGCGCAACGGGAGAACTTAGAGTACGACAGTCTCTTTGTATGCCTACGTACACATTTGTACTCAAAATGGCACGGGTTGAAGTGCTCAAGTTATTCGAACCGGAATAGTTTGAGAAAAGGCGCAGTCATATGAAAAAAACATGCAAGCGTACGACACCGCCAACTGACTCGCAACGCCGATCAATGCGGGTAGAACAAGAAAATACTGTGGTGCATGTGAAACACAGAGAGGTGAAGTGTAACCCGTGTTCGGTTCACTGACCAACTTTGAAGTCACGCAGACTTGTGCGAATGGTGATTCTTGTTGCAGCGATATGTGATGAGACGGCAACAGTACGTGGAAGTTCATATTAAGTGAAAGGGTAGAACTAGTTTCTGAAGCGACAAGAGAACAATATTCCCCCCAGTGGGGTTCGGACGTGACACTCGGTCAAAGCGTTTTCATTATAGCGGGGTTGAACCAACCTCCGAGGCGGACCGATCACTCACAGGGGTGGGTAAGCGTTGTCCCTATAGAAATGCTTTCGCGATGGCCCATTGTTGAGGCAAGAACCGCGTGAGCTTTCTCGAGGACTGCTTTATCCTGTCATCGTCTGCCGCATGTTCCTTTTAGCGGCATTATTGATTGTCCCCAAGGATATCAATCAAATGAAAAAAGTTAATCTCGATTGTGCAGTTCACCTCTGCATGTTTCGAATATCATAAATGCGGAACATGCTCGATAAATGGACTGAAATTGGAGTTATTCGTTCATTCTGCAATAAGGTCCAATGGCATTCGTCTTCCGTAACATTTTTCCATACGATAGAATAGGCTTTCTATCCGATCGGATGAGTATTCTTCGACAGAAGGTAAAAGCTGAAATCTCAGCATGAGGGCCGAGCTACTTAAGCCCACACAGGAGCAGTCGATATACCGGGGTTGGATTCGAACCCCGGACCTTGGGGAAGTCCGCTCGTAAATCACCATACTATCTCGAGCTGTATGTGTACGTGGCTTCCAGTATAGGAGCGAGATTGATGAAGATTCGTAGTCTTACCTGATAAATTCAGAGATCACCAAACTCGATAGTGGGATGTCTAGCACTCCTATCGGCCTGATGAGTACTAATAAGAGTGGGACCTAACTCTCCCTTTTTTCGCATGCCAATTGTCGATGGTATCAAGGTTGGGTCACTCAAATCACGATTGGTCTTTAATCAGCGGTCTGAGACGCACACTGTCCTTTCCCCGCAAATGCTGGGGGAATACCCGCATGCGTAAGATTTACCAAAGGAGGTAGCGGGCTCCGTATTTAAGCGAATGCTCGAGCGTCGTTAGATTGGAAAAGTGAACGTGACCTCCCTAAAGTCACAACTCTCCTTGGTCCCTCAGTCAGATTGCGACATATATGGCTCTAAGTTTGCCTGTCTCGGCCAATTAGGTCACCTTTTCGATAAAAGTACTTCTATATCCTGTACTTTGCGTTTCCCGCACAGGTTCGTGTCGCACTAACCAGGACACCAGTATCTTATGTTCCATTCGTAGAAAGTACCGCGGCAAGAATAGGTGGTTTATGAGCAAATCACCGTAAAACTAGGACACGCAGGAGCAGTACAGTTGTGTAGCCGGCTAGTCACTCACGTGTCAATCGATTATCAGTACGGCCAATCACCGCGTTAGGTCAACACCCACCCACGCACCTCGTGCGTAATTGCAGCGCGTGTGAATTGGCAAGGTTGGAGGAAAAAGTAGAGACCAGTTACAGCTGTAATAAAAGTCAATCTCTTCGAAGGACTGAGGAGTATTGTGCGGCTGTCTCATCCTTATTGAGAATCCACAAAAGCGCGTATGTGACGAAACTAAACACCCCAGTGAACTCCCCTTCAAAAAATGGTTGAAAAACCGTCAAGAACATCGACAAAGTAATGAAATCAGATTGGGGGAAAAAGGATGCATTTCTGAGGGAAATACTTCCATAGAACAGCTGCATGTAACATGCGTACCTGTCGGCAGGACTTCCACGTTCAACACCAGCAACAAACAGGTTTTTGATCTCGCCGTCCACGAGGTGCTGCCGCAGAATAAGACCGGATCGCCTAAACGGCTGGGACGGACTTGGCTCAGGAAGTTGAATCAGGTAGAACTCTGTGGCATCTGTGGTTCGGATTTCCTCGACGCGCAGTTTGAGCGCATCGGACGAGAGCGGTGGAAGGCCCGGTCGCGGAGGTTGAACGTGGGATTGTGTTAGGAGGTCGCTCAGTTCTTGCTGACGGAGATAAAAATAGAAATAGGATCTTACAGCTTCATACGAACAGCAACTTGCCCACAAACTTGCAGCTGAGCCTGTCAGAATGCGAAACATCTTAGCGAGATACACCCATTTGCAAACAAATTTGGTTTTGCAGGAGACTCACCTGGGACCCAGCTGAATCTCTTGTTTATGCTGGGCCCGCACCTGATGAGCCCCAATAAGGGCGAAACCGGTTGTGGGCTGTCGGGGACTTTCCAGCAACCCTAGGAGTAGTACATTACAAAGATATACATGTATCGCGATATTCCAAATATCATAGCGACTGAAACATGAGGTGGCCTGGTGCAGCGCATTCAGTTGCTTGAAAACATCATAAATGAGAGATTCAGCTGGGTTTCAGGCGAGTCCCCCAAAACCAGATTCGTTTGTAAATGAGTGTATATTCGCTAATTTCGTGCAATTTGGTTTCAAGTAGAACATAAGGTTGACGGAAACCCGGGGACTGCGCCTACCTGATGAGCCCCAAAAAGAGCGAAACCGGTCGTGGGCTGTCGGGGAGTTTTTAGCAACCTTACAAGTAGTGTATTAAGTGAAACATCTTTTTTCACCTGAATTATGAATCAGCAGGCTGCTACGAATCAAATGTGACATTGACGTAATAACTTCTCACCACGCATTCCACTGTACAATCAAATCATACGGATCACGTCAGTTTTACCAACATCGACGGTATAACATCAGTGTTGAAGACGGTACCACCATCATCTATTTGAAGCCCTTGTTGTGAAGAAGAGGATAAAAGTAGACACGGGGAGGGGACTTGGTGCTAGTCTACCACTGTATCGGTGATATTAATGACTGGGGGGTGCGATAGTATGTTTTCTCGTACATCCGCTTTGCGTCTCTTGAAAAGGGAATTTTTGGAGTCGCTTTGAGGCATTTGCTCGCATTTGAGTAACAGTCAATGAATACCCAGGAAAATTCAGCAAGGCGCGTTCAAGGAGAAGATGGACATTCAGTTTTTCTAAACAAGATGCATATGTCCAGTAGTCTGTAACTGTTCAGTTGGCATTTTCTAATTAATAACTCCGGAGCGAAGGCCTTATTTTCTGAGGTGCCTTCCTCTTCATTGATGGACTCGGTAGAAAGTGACAACAAGAATGTCACTGACATCGATTAGCACGCATATCCTGCATATTGTGGACCACGCGGTCTCCACCCTGGACGGTGAGCCGCACTGACAACACTCAGACTTTTTGTAATCTTTTTCATACCACTCTGTTGAGCCAAAGGATGACTACCTCTCTTTCTGGATCGGACGCGCCAAAAACATCGGCAAGCAAGGACTCGGCATGCGAACCCACGCCTGGAACACCTCAGTTTTCAAGACTGGACAGTCCCCGCTGAAATGCCGTACGAACAGGATGTTGGACAAATAAGTCCCACAACTGATTTCAAGACAACCGTCAAAACCAGCCAGGAATTTCACTATGAACAGAAACACAATTGTTTCTAGCGGCGAAACAAGGAAGCTTATTCTACTAAACTTCTCGAATATGATGAGCTGGCGGCCGTTTCCAAATCGGCTTGTCACTGAGAACCAAGCTGACAGATAATGGGTAATGCCGCGATGACCTACGTATTGTTTGGTCGGAGAGTTCCAGCCACATGGGGCATGTAAAGGTTACTTCTCAAGTAGACATTCCTATTCAGTCGTCAAAGCGGAATAAAGGTCAGCGCTGTATGTTGTCTAAACGGTATAATTTTAGGAAAAAATCCGTGGGAGCAACACCAGAGCTTTCAAAAACCATAGTGGATGCAGGCAATCGATTTGCCGCTCCGCTGCAACCTTCACGCACGTTCTTGAACGGGAAGTTCTCACTATTCTAAAAAAAATCATGACACATACTACTACTCTGCTGGATTCTGTGGTAGGAACCTTGACAAAAACATCAACGTACCCCTAGCTGAATCAAGCCAACTCATGGAAATCGATAGATGAGCGAAAATCGATTCCGAGTGCTCACCTACTGATTTCTGGTGGACTTTTACCGTAAACATTTCACGTTGCGATAGGACATAATGAGGACTATTGCTGCAAGGGAGACGCATGCGAACACAGACTAATGCGAACTGTGAAGCAATTCAGTAGACCACCGAACGACTTCTACCGAGAACGATTAGGCCTTAATCAAATTTGTAATGCACTACTCATAAGGTTGCTGAAAACCCCTTAATCATAGTTCTGTCGGTGTAGGCTAGCCGTTGTGATCGTACACACACACGTTCACGGATTAATTATACTAAAAATTATGGGTGGAACCAGTTAGGAGAAAAAACATCTCAAAGTAACTGAGATCGCGGAAACATGAGTGTTGTAACGATGGTAACGTGTAGGTAAAATACGCATATATAAGCGTGGCAAAAAGATATCAAATGTGTGGATTTCAATACCTGAATGTCGGATGCTTTCATCGTTTGTAAAATTTTTGAGCATTGTTCATACAGCTCGGAACTAATCACTGCAGAAACATGGCTGGTACATCTAGACAACCGAAGATGCCTCTTCTCTCGAAATTTCCGATCCAACGAACCAAGTAGAAACAAAATTTCGCCTGAAATGGACTGGTAAACTGGTTTTAATAGAAACTACCTAGTTTCATCTCACAACGGCATCCGATGGCGGTCGGAACGACCACCTTCAGCAAGGGAGATAATCCATCTGGAATATTTCAGGAAAAGGGGACGAGAATAAATCAAGCCATCTTACGAACTAAAGCATACCAAGCTGCGACGCTTGAGAACACAACTCAGACGAAACGTGAAAACAAGCAGTGTGCAAAACTGACTTTAATATGGTATAGTATAGTATCATTCAGCTGTAACACCCTTTCGGTGCCTAGCTGACATGCCATCAGAAGGAACCACGAGGGCTGGGATACGGCAGAGTTACCCGAACCTAGACAGAAGAAGCCGAGTTGGAGAGATCGGGTTCGAATTATGAACCTTTCGGTCAGTGCTCTCACCACCGAGCCATCTTGCATCGGTTCGGACAGAGGAATAATTCATGCCGAGGGTGGACCCCTCCCAAAAAAAAGTCGTCGCTATGAGAAGCAGAGATCACGTGACTGAAGGATGAGTCACGCTGTATCCTGTCCGCGTGCTTGCTGCTCACCACTCGTGACAAAGTTCCGCTGATGATTTCCAATGAGGATGAAACAAGTGTACAATGATTCTGAAGTTTTCAGCGTAGATCGGCTTGCCTTACGCGACCGATTCTACACTGAGAATTCCAAAAAATTCGTCCCTCTAGGAGTCAGACAAAATGTAATAACGTGACGTGAATTCCGCGATTGAAAAAGGAGTTGCACTCAATCGTCTGCTGGTGGCTTATCAGTTCCGTCCCTACCGTGAAGCCAGGAGGGTACCAGTTCGAATCACCCTGAAGTTTCCGCACTGCTGATGATTCCTAATACTGATAAAACAGCTTTTTCTTCATGTATTAGCTTTTCTGTAAGGACCGATCGCACAGATGGGGCGAAACCGCGAGTGTTCGAGTGTTATTCGTTTGAGTGCCAATCAGCTATACTCATCTTCAATAAAAAGGATTTTCGCTATGAAGCGAGTCATATAAGTATCATATCAGGCCCAGTTGCTAACTGCAATCGGCTACATGCTCAGAGGGAACATTAGGTGGAGTGTGTATGAAGCTATCGGTGTCCGTGGGCGAGGATGAACCGGAATAACGAAGCAGGGTGGCAAGGAAACGGGGACCGGCCTAAATGCCCCTAATTAGTATAATGCTTGACAGTTTGCTTGCATCGGAGACAGGGAGTTATAGATTGGTTGTGGCGTTTCTGATGTGTACGAAAGTGGTTTACAGAGGACTGCAAGACGATTCGCAAGGGTCCCGAAAGGTAGTTGGATCGAGTGCGTGCAGGCACACTGGGCAGTATGCTGACTGACAATGGGATAATGCATAGAGTAAACTCACAACCACCGATCAGGTTGTTCGTAATGCTTCAGTCCTCTCGGTGGTCCTTTATCGAAAAAATGACACCATACAAACAAGGTCAATCGTTCAACGCCATACGGATGACAGAAAGGGCAGTATGACGGTACACACAGACTACGGAGAGCCAATCCACCCAGAGTGGTCTCCAACCGCTGGACGCCAAGTATGGACTAAGAGAGTAGAAGCCAACCTTTCCCAGTTTTCAGCGATAATCACCAGCTTCACTGGGAAGATGGAGAACTGTAAAATGTCTGTTACTTTGACCTTACCGGTCGGGAGAAATAGCTCACTCTCGATAGATGAACTGATCACACTGCATCGGTTGCGCTGG